AAGAGAAAAGCAAACAAATAAATGACTGTAGGAGTTGCTTTTATTACAATACTGGGCAAGAAATTCTACACTGTATGTTTCATTTACTAAGGCTAAAGACAAAAATATTGACTGTGGCCAACTCTCATGAAACATGCAGCAGTATGAACACCAGATAGTCTTAACACAAGACTAGTCTGATATCACTTCTTCTACTGCTTTATCTACCACATGTGTAAACTCAGCTCAGTAACCACCAATACTAAGCTTGTGGAAAACATATGGACACAATGAGATATAAGTTTCTAATCAGTCTGGTGGCTTTCATTTAAGGTCATTCCACTGAAATAAAACCTGCCCTGAGATTTTTGTCAAACTTTGCCTATTGATTGTTCATATTATAGAAACTTAAATTTTGAATTAAAAATAAGGGGTCCCCATGTTCGTTTAGGAGCAACAGCACCTTGTTTGTACCCAATAAATCCTTATAATAGCACAATGATTATAGTCACAATTGCTTACTAAATTCACCTTTCCGACAACTGTTTCTTGTTCTACACTGAGAATTGGTCCATTATTACTCAGTTCAAAACAACAGAAAAAAAATGATAGGTCACTGTACTTGTTTTCAAGGAAATGACGATTTACCTCTAAGACAAGGTCCAGCCGTAAAGAAAAAGCCGCCATTTTTTGATGCGCGCGCGCTAATCATGTGTGAAATTATGCGCAGTAGGGATGCACTGTGCAATACTGGGGAATGACCTTAAGCATATTTCGCTTTACAGTGCAGTTAGGATAGTATTCATGTGCACAATGTTTTGCACCAATTGGCTAATTGTTTACAACTAATAAAACGCTTTTCATTGTTTCTAAAAGGTGTGATTTATTCTACACAATAACTTTCAACATGTTTCCTGAGAGGGAAGGTTTCTTGAAAGAACGCTCAAGTAACTTTTTGTTAAGAAACCTTGGTCTCGGCTTATAGCCGCTATTTTTCCGATTTTATTCCAAAAGCTTTCACCCACTATCATGTCTCACAAGTTTAAGGTCTCCGCTTATAGCCAAGCTCGGCTTATAGGTAAATAAATATGGTAGTTCAAGTAAGCTGAGAATTAAAATATAGCAGTGACACTTAATTGTGTCTTTTGATTAATTCATGACAATTTTTTGGTAAATTATCAATGGTTTCTAAGCTAAATTGCAAGACCTTTTGCAGACAAATGCCATTTTTCTGGTGAGTGTGGCATTTGACAATGCTACTTCTAATGGTTCTTCCATTTTGATTGCCCATTTGAAATGGGGATCAGAGTTGGCGTAGTGGTGAGAGTGCTCCCCTCCCACCAATGTGGCCCAGGTTCAATTCTGGCCCAGTGTCATTATAATGCTTGCTCCGAGGGATTTTCTTCTGGTTCTCCCACTCTCAATATTTCCAATTTCCAATTCAATCAGGATACAGGATCATCTGCATGAAACCCAGCTTGGACTGATGATGCTTCATCTCTAAATATTATTATTTATTTCAAAAGTAGTCTAAAATCAATCAAAGGGTAGCCAAAATGTTGTTACACAAACCTGTGTTGGAATGTCAGAATGTTGGATGGTCTCCTGTAAATGTGACATGAGCATCAGATCACGAGCCTCGAACCAGCGATCATGTAGAGCATGGTGATGCAGGTGACAGAGCATGGCTCTAGTTCGGATATGGTCTGAAGTGTCGCATGAGTAGATGAACTTGCACATCTTATC